CCAAAGCCTGATTTCTTAGTATTATAATATAAGAGTTGCCTTCTTCTTCAAGGAGAAAAATGCATTCTCAATAGATAACAATTATAGAGAGAAAGCTTCTACTTAATATTCAATCATTGAATCACAGTTTAAAATCAAAGATATCTGTCAAATACCTTTTGGCACTTAAGGTGGGCAAGCACATCTTTGCTAAAACCTTTATATACATATACATACGTACATATATATATATGTGTAATGTGTATCCATTATGTATGTTTATCTTACCTTCTGCATGCGCTACGCAAGTATGAAGTATGCTTTTCTGGAACAAATGAAAATTTGGAAAAGTGGCAAAGAATGTTTGTGATGTTTTGCAGGGGAGCGGAGCCTTTTGTAGATTTGTAGTTGAACAGAATCTTGGCATGCAGAGAGCACTGAATAGCTCATGAACTGTATAATCATTTCATTTTCAACTCCTCTGTTCTCAAATGTTCTGTCCACCTTAGGACTAAGCATATCTGCTAGGCCAACGATGCATATCTCAAAACATTGCCAGCACAGTGGGGTTCAAATGAAATCCAAAGGAACATGTTCTGTGCAGCTCAAAACATTTCTCTGCGCAGTATTCTGTCTTTTGTTGCATCCATTCTGGCCAGGAATTGGGAGTTTAGGTACTCAGGACGGCAGCAGACTTCCAAGCAGAAAGGTTGCCTCATTTTTTTGTGGAACTGTGAACTTTCAGCTATTTAGATGTGTGGAGAAATCTCCTTCTTTCTTCATTGCTCTCAGAGTGGGACATAAAGGTGAAGGATACTTGGTGAAAACTGAAGTTGGATATTTTGTTTCAGACTCACCTGCAGAGATATACTGTGAGGAGGTTCTGTTGTATAGGTGCTCAAACAAAAGCTTTTTCAGAGGTCTGAGTTCTGAATGGTCCAGAGCAAAATTCTGTTCCGTGTTTACCTTTCTTCATGCACACTTTTTGGACTTTTTGACAACTGCAGTAAAATAACAGCGCTATTAGAAGTAACATTTATAGCAATAAATGTAATAATCTTATTAGCTTTAATAATCACACAATTAACACTGCTATCCAGATAGAAAACACCAATCGCTTCTATTGTAGATGCATAAAACCTGTGCAATTTCTAAATGATCAGAAGACCTTTTGTGACATCAAAACATATAATAAGAATGGAGAAGGACTGATGTCTCTTGGATCTTTTACCAACAAGGATCATTTATTCATCTGGAAACTTTTTGACCTATTAACAAATGGCACCTGATCATATTAAGCGTGTTAATAATAACTTTGAAAAACTGAAGCTAGCTCCTGTCCTTACTAATACATATTCATAAAATTGCTAATTAGATACAGAAATGGGAAAAAAAAAAAAAGGCAGAGAAGGAAATTTGAGTTTTATTCACAAAGTGCCTTGCTAGGTTAGTCTTTACACCTGTTAGAAAGAAAAACATGCTTTGAATTGGATAAGATGATCAGAAGAAAATCCTTACTCCCTCTAGCCTTGCAGTGTTATGAAAACATTCAGGATTTTTCAGTTTCATTGGCCCTTCTTCAGTGATCTATGTGTAATTTTTCCTCAGTTTGCATGTAAAGATAATAAAAGTAGATATTAATAAATAAATATCTTTGCAAAAAGGGCATGAAAGTACTTTTTTACAGGTATAGAGTATTTATATTTCTGGTCTTCCTTCTTTCTTTAGTAAAATTTTTTCTTTCTCCATACTCATCTCTAAACCGATTATTCCAAGCGTTGCAAACCTTTAGTTGCAAACCTTGGGTTGGCAAAGTCTTCCTGAGTCAGTGACTGTAGCAGAAAGCTAGCTTCTTGTTTTATTAGTTCTGACATTATATAGCCGCTGTAGGGTGAGAGAGCGTAGAGTGGCCAAGATGCAGTACCTGCCCTAAAGCTGTAGCTGGAGAATGATGATTTAATTTCTAATGAGACTACTTATGACAGTCAAAGTCATTATTTAAAGAATGGCAAACATGGTTCACCATGCCTTGAAGCTGTCAGGCCAAATTCAAGTGGGAATCCCCAATGGGAAGTTATTCAGTGGGTACTTGAATACACAGAATGGCTAGATTGTCATCCGTTTTGGAATTAAGAAAACATAAGGGTGTGAAAATAGAAATAAGATTGTCAACAACAGTTCTGTGTTACAAGCTACATTTTGTTAGACAATTCCATGTGATTGCTTGTGGCTCTGGGGTTTAAGCTACAACAGGGTATTCTTTTACTAGACTTTTTATAAACCCCCAGTTTCAATGGCAGGTTTAATCAGAGTATGTAAAACTGATAAACAGCTGTTCTGTCTTTCCAAATGACTGCTTGCATTTTTCCTCCCTAACCGGAGATGAATCAAAGCTGAAAGTTACTCTCACTTAGACTTTTTTTGGGGAGAAATTTTCCAAAAGTAGCAAGTTATAAATAAATACATTAAGCATGAGACACTGAGACACTCACTGCTACTAGAAAGTGCATTCAGTTATGGCTGATCTATTACTGCTCCTCAATGATTATGACAGCAAGTACAGATTAACATAACAAATATCTGCAAAATAAGTATTGACCCACGATCATCTGCAGAAAAATAGTAATAACTGTTTTTGCCTATATAGAGTTGTAAATATTAAATCCAGTAGATACAGCCCTTTAGGATCTTAGTAACAGTAAGCATCAACTCTATATTTCTCTTTATTTCTGCATTTTGCTGTGTTGATACTTTTCTGTTTTTGCTGTTGTTTGTTTTTTATTTAAGAGATAGTCAGAGCTGGGACAGTGTGTGCCTATATTTGATTATCTAAAAAAGAATAGTGTTCATACTGAATTTTCTGTAGTATTAGAGATGGAGCAGAGAACCTGAGCTGTCATTCTTTCTCTTTCCTGCCACTTTTTACTTGAGGTTTATGTACTTACTACCCTAAATTATGTATTTGCTACAGCTTTTTACTTTGAAATCCTATGATTCCAGTACCCACCCAAAATGTTAACACTTACCTATTAAGTTATTTCTCTGCAAATTTTGTGTAAACAGAATTCATCTTATTATTACCTAGTCATGCAATTCACTTATTTGTTTATTTACAGTAACATTCTACCTATTGTAATTTCTACTGCACTTTGTAACTGTACATTTAGATCAGCTATTAACAGTGTCATCACTTCATTGGGGATATATGGTATGACCAAAAATCTCGGGACCAATCCCAAGTACCCCATTGCATATTCAGTCTCATTCACCAAAATGAATTGAAATCAAGTTTAGTCTGGATGACATTCTTTTGAACTGTCCATAACATTTTTTTCTCCTAATATATTAAAAGTTCAGTTGATAAATAAAGTAGGATGTAGCTGTCTTTATGCTAGATGAGCATAGTTGTTGGAAAGTCTGCCAGGTAAGGAGAGATCTGTTCCTAAGATCTCAACGCAATGTAAAGGTAGGAATTCAGTACAAGGACAGAAACTCGGTGTTATTTTCTTTTAGTCATTTGTTGGAGCAAGGTTTTGCTGTTTGGTAGTCTCTTAGAGGGAATGAAGGTGGGAAATGGCCCATTTAGTTTAGTAGCTTTCTTAGAATATACACGGTTTGGGAGCGATATATGGCATCCTTTGCTTGAGTCTCTGGGAAAGAAGGGAGAGGTTGATTTATTTTTCTGTTCTGAATCATTAAGTCATTTATTTCACTGTAGTTCCAGGATTCCCAGCTGAGATCACATCCTGCCTGGCAGGACAAAATAAAAAACAAACACAAAAAAAAAACAACAAAAAAAGCACATTGTGACAACTGCAGTGCCAGTGGATTTACAAACAGTGAGCTGGTCAATGGCAGAGATGTGCAGGGAGCACACATTTCAATCTTCACCCACTTAGTCAAGATGTCTACTGAAATTCCCAACTCAAAAAAGGGAGACGTGGTCCCAGGGTCCATTCTTTGAGTTTCACTGGAGATAATGGTGGAACCCTCCCCCATTTTTACCATTCACTGGAAAATTACTTTTTTTGTCTTCTTTTTTTTCCTCCACAGGCACATATTCTTAGATGTAGCAGTGTACCCATAAATTGCACAGATATTTTCTGTAGGCAACACTTCCTCCTTCCAGACCTGTATTCCTATGGCTCTGTTCTTAAAAAAGCTCTGGAAAACAGTTTCCTGTGCTGGTAGCTCTAGTCTTCTAAATATGTGACTTCATGCCTCAGTACATACAGTTTATGTCTGCACTTTTTTTTTCTTTTCTTCCCCAAAAAGCCACTGCTCTCTGTCAAATAAAGTTTATTTCCCATGGGAGAAATAGAAATGGCATGCTACCTATTGGAAGCGTCTTACGTATTTATTTTTAGTTTTTATAAACAACAAACAGCCAAACTGAGTATACTGAAGTGTGATATTTTACTGTACAGGCTGTTTAAGTACATTTTACACCCATAATCCTCTATCGTATGGTACATCAATTCCCTGTTCCATTTTGAAATCCTGGCATTGCTGAAATAACTGGTGAAGTGCTTATTTCAGGGATCAGCACTGAGGTCCTAGCATCTTCATTTCCTCACTGTGTTTAATTAAGAAGATTATTTATATTTGTCTACCCCAAATAACAAGAAAGAGTCTTGCATGCTCTGTTTCAGTTGTCTTTGAAGCCTTTGGCCAAAAGCCAGTAAGTTTTTGGTAGCAATGGCCTCTGGTATTAGGTGTCCTCCAACTAGAACATCATGCAGATGATAATAATTCTCTGTCAGAGCAGTGAAAAAGCAGTAGATGCAACGTTCTGACACTTCAATGACTCATTTCATCTCTGGGCTGGCAGAGCTACACAAACTAATAAGCATTCCCTTTATAGGTTTCGCACTGTAATCAGAAAGTCTATTTTTGGTCTTCTTCTTTTCTAAAAAAGGAAAAGTCAAGATCAAGAAAATTTAATGTGCTTTTCAAGTAACTTTCTGAGAAGAGGCTGGGGAATTTATCTGGTTACTGTATCTTCTTGCTTTATATTTCAGAGCAGCCTGAGGATGCAAAATCAAGTAATGGCCATTTCTACAGACATGAAGATCTCTGCCCTGCCTCCCCCAGACATGTGTATTATGCCAGGAGAACTAGCGGAGAGATGTAAGGAGTTGCAGAGGGATAAAAGCCATAGGAGGAGGTGGGTACCTGGGCGATGCATGGGTGAGACTTTATGGGGCAGAGGAAGCCTTCAAAGGAGCTAGTACTCTGACAGTGAGAGCCCGGGATGCATTGCTATCAGAGAGCTGCATATCTGGGTGTGAACTAGAGGGCAGCATTACCAATTCACTCAGCAGCACGGCTGTCCTGCCAAAGGAGATGAAGAATAAACCATAATGGAAAGTCATGGTGTAGGGATAATACTGAATTACTGCTGTTGGTTCCCAGTGTCCTTCCTGGACTCTCTGGGGCCTTGTGCACAATTGTACACAATGGTAACTTGACTGCTTTACTTATGTGTGCTCAGAAAGTGCATGGGAAGCATATTTAGGGAGTAGCCTCTCTGTTCTCCTTGAAGGGGTCATGAATTTCTGCAGGGCTTGTAAAGTTTAGATTGGCTTTTTTTTTTCTTCTTTTTTTTCCCTCAGAAACATTACTTTTCCAGTCTTAGCTTTGCAGTACTGAGAAATATAAGGAAGTACAGTATGTCAAACACATTGGAAGAGATTATTTTTTTCAGGAAGAAAAATGTAAAGGAACTCCTTTGCAGTTTCTAACATTGTTAGACCTTGTTAGGTGGTTTCTGTTTGTTTTTGTTTGTTTGTTTGTTTTTTACAGTTCTTAGTAGAGTTACCTCTATGATAACAATGATCTAACCTACAGGCACCCCAATTCACATTCTTCAGTAAGGTACCTCCTGAAGAGGAAATAAACATTTTTCTTTTAAACAGGTAATGATTCTCATTATGTCTACCTAGTCCTGAACTGAACTTTAGGTAAATTTTCTAAGAGGCAAAGCAAAAGTCACCTCAATAAGGTTGTAGGCCATCATCAACACAAAGGTTGATTTGGCTCCTTTAGGATGCTGAAATTGTAACAAAGCTTTGAACAAAGCTGTTGTCATTGTGAAGAGATGGGGAAGAGAGGAAGTGGGCTTGGAAGCTGTGCTAACAGATCACTCACACAGATTTCCATTCATAGCACATTCAAGAGGAGTCAGTATTCTGGGGGCACTAGGTATTTCTGCGCTAGGTTTTAGTGTTTTGATGAAAATACTGATGTGATATTTAATGAAGAAAAAAAGGAAAAACACCAAATTTCTGAAATGGGTTCAGAATTCAATTTTTTGAATACTCTCCTAAATTGCTGAAAAAAAAAAAAAAAACAACCCACAAAAAAAAAAAAAAAAAAAAAAAAAAAAAAATTGCACTGCTTGGGTGCAACTGGTATCAACAGGTTTGGAGGATTTGCCTTACATGAAATTACTGCTGCCTTAGGTGTCATTCTTAGCAATGTTAAGTGTTACATTTCTTTGCTGTTCTTCAACACTTCTGAAAAACAGTTAGATAATGGAAATAGTCTCACTTGTTATTTCCATGTTTATTGTATTTTTTTCTCTTCATACCTGTTATCTGAATTAAGACAATATTTTAAAAAATTGCTCCAAAGTAGGCTACATTTTTTTTTAGTAGAAATTGCTGCATATAGGCACAAAACCTGTGTAAATCATGGTCCTCTCATTTGTATTTGTATTTTGTCTTTGTATTTGAATGTTCTGCTTCTGTACAACTCACGTGGGCACCAGCATTTGGATGGCCCAGGAAGCACAGGTGCAAGCAGTTCACTTGTGCTTCCCACATGACACTTCCCTGGGCTCATTTAAGGGCTAGCCTCTGAAGGAAGAGTTTCTTCTGGTCAAAGGCCAATTCTTGAGGAGTGCTGTAGAGCCTTTTGCATCATGCAGGTGAATCAACTTTTTCCTGTGTGCAACTGTTGATAATCTTAAGGATATTCTGAAGAGTATCACAAAAAACTTATCCTAAGCCATTTTCACTGGAAGCAAGGACCAACAATAGGCATGGCACTTTCAACCCTAGATATCATAATGGTCTGAAAATCAATTTGTGCTAGTTTAACTCTGGCTGTAAGGTAAACCATTCCAAAATTACTTAGTCACTTCTCTACATTGGAATGGGAAGGAGAATCAGAAGGGCAAAAGAGAAAAGAACTTCATAGCTAAAGATTAAGACTGTTCAGTAAGTGAAAGGAGAATAGATAAAATGATGCCTATGTCTTTTATTTGATGCTGCTTCTGTAACAGTAAACTTTACCCACATCTTTCCTCAGTTCTTGTGAGACATGGGTACTTTCAACAAGGTAGGTCCCAGGGATACTTAGAACTCCATCTCAGTCCATTTCAGAACCCACAGAGCTATTCCCTGAACTGGTATTTGGGGAGATGCTTGTGTGAAGATGGAAATTAAGATCCCACTGGAAACAGTCCACTCAAGGGGGAGCAAAGAAATTTGTCCAGATATGTGTTACTGTAAGAATAGAGAACATACAGAAAACAATAATTAAAAAAACCCACAACATCAACACTCCTTCCTATCCCCCCCAAAAAAAAGAAACATTTTGCCTGGAAAACAAGCTGTAAGACAATGTATTTCTGTTACTGTATTTGCTTTAAATACCACTCTGCAATTATCTTTGTATGATCAAGATACTCAAGCTGTTCAACTTGATAGTTTTTGGACTATGTTCTCAGATACAGGTTTGGCTATATTATCAGATAAGGAGTTTTATGACTAAAAGATCACATAAAGAGTCTCAGAAATGAAATTTAGAGCTAGCTGGTACGTCCCAGACACAGCTGCCTGTCAGCAGCAACATTAAGAAGTGAATCCAAGGCTTAGAAAACTGTTGTATTGAAAATTCTTTGTTTTTATTTAAAGTGAGTTTTGTTTTTTCTTTTAGGAGAGAAGATGTGAGCAGAATGAGGAATGAGCTAATCAGCTAACAAAACAAAGGACTGGACAACTGACAATACATTTCTAAAATGACTGAAATACGACAAAAATTTGAAACTTAAAAGAACAATTAGAATTTTCCTTATATCCTTCCACATTGTACACCCTGCTTCTGTGGGCAAGAGTGATAATTCTGTGTTCACCACTAGAGGGATGATTTTATACAGAACTATCATCATTATTAAATCTTGAATCCATGTTTATTTAATACCCTGGATTGTATGTGCACATGTCATAGTTTGTGAAGAACTATTTGTTTCCCCTCTTCCATTCTAACTGAGAATATTATTGAGGTAACCAAAAAACAACAAACAAACAGTAAAATTCAGACATATTTCAGACCTACTTCAGAATGCAGTGATTACATTTTATTTCACTTTTTAAAAACATTTTTGAATTTGGATTCCAAAGAAAAATCAGTGTCAGTAAGGAGGTCTGACATAAGTTTTCTAAGAAGAACTGAATCTGTAGACTTTGCAACAACAGCAGTGAATGAACACCATTCTAATTTAGAAAGAATAAAATGATGGTCATACAGAAGTATTCCAAAAGGAATTATTTGAAATAGAATGAAAGCATTTTCTTCTATTAAAACAAATAGCTCATTCATGTATGATGAAAGAGTGCTCTTATTTTACTTGAAAAGAAAAAAATAAGGCTGAAAGTAAATTGTGAGGTAAGATAATGCTGAATTTAGTTAGTTTAATATTTACTTCGTAGACTGAAGACTTCAGAAGTCAACAGATTTCTTGCTTCTCTGTGGAGAGATTTAGATTTCCTTAGTTCTCTACATCCTTTGAATTCTACTCTGAAGCAGATGTATACATTTTATTTTGGCTGCCAGCCATAGTAAAACATGAAATAGATATATAACTTATATGATTCTTTAATAAATCTGTTTCCTTTATTATCAGAAAATATCCTCCCCTAACCCCAGCTTTAGGTCTAGGAAGTGGGAATTAAATTTTGTGTAGGAAATCACTGGGTTCTGTCCTTTGATGGTAAAGAGCCATGTTCAGACTGGAAAGCAAGCTAGCCTGCTGCCTTTGAGCCAGTGGGGACAGATTATTACCAAAATGTTTTTCCCACTTTTAATCTTACAGATCATGCTTTAAATCCTACCTGTGCTCTATTGTAAAGTGGGCTGAATGTTCTGCCGTTAGCACAGTTTCTACTGACTTCTAAACAGTCAATTGTACAAGTCCACATCAAACATGCTGTCTGGTAATAGTGCTAGTATTGCTAACAGTGTTTTCTGGGTTGTAACTAGTGAGAAGTTCAGTAGAAACAATAAGGAACCTGTTTTCAGTAAAAAGGGTATATTTGCTAAATTAAGGAAAAATTCATGAAGGAAGGATACGCAAGAAGTGATATTTCATTATAGATTTCTCCAAATGAGCAGATACAATCTTTGTGCCTCCTTTAAGGACATAAATGTAGAACAGTCCTGCTTGGAAGTTTCATTTAGGTCTTCTTTTTTATTGTACTTCCCCAGCTTTTCCTTGGATAAGATTTGTTTTGCTTTGTTTTGTATTTAATTGCCTGTAGCATTGTGTATTATTTCAATACCATAGTTCTGATATGCTTTAGTGATACACGACTAAACTCTGGTGAGGTGAAGTGATTTATTACTTTTTCTTTTAATTGGGTTTTTGTTTGCACATCTAACAAGGCCTTGTTAATGGTAATTGAATAAACAGAGAAAATGTTTGGACAGTGCTCTAATGCTGTAAACAGTCTATCATTTTCTTATGAGAAACTACCTCCTTGAACATTGAGAGCTTTCTTTTAGTTACTAAAAGCCTTAAAGGAAATGCAGATGAAGGTACTGTGTGTTATACGACTCTTGTTTCCACAGAGCTTTCATTTATTTTAGTACTCATTAATATAGTACTCATTAATATAATGTTACCTAAAACAAGGCCTCATAGAACTTAACCTTTTGAAATCTTGTTGTATACTTAACAATGAAAAATGCAGTAAGAGCAGCATGATTTGAAATAAATATATTTTAACATGAGTTTTTTTTCAAAAAAACCCTTCTTACTATGCAAACATAAGCAAGAGAGAAAACCCAAAAGAAAAAATCATGTAATAAAAAGAAAGCTGAATTATTTCAAAGAGAAGAATTTTCCACTACCTTTTGTTTCTTTCCAGTTTTAATGTCATTTTAAACTTCTGTTTCATATAGTTCATGGCTGATATTACGGTGGAACGGACAGTCAAATTCCAGTGTAAATTCTGTGTGCAGAAGGATCTTCTCATGTGAGCTTTACAGAAGCCTCACGTGTTCAGAAACCATACCCGTTGTACTAAAGACAGGCTCAGGACCCTGTACTGTCTTCTTGAGGCAGAAAATTGTCCTAATTCTTTCCTGCTCAAGAGTGGCAGAGGCTGCTTCTATTACAGAAGCAACCTGAGTTTACTCTTAAGAGCATATAAAAGGCCTTGTTGACGTCCAGAAAGATCAGTTTTTTTTACAAGCTTTACTTATATTGTTCCATACAAATATGGCGGTTCTGTGTTTCATACTATGCACCATAATACGTGGGAGCAGATGCTATCTCAGTGATAATATTCTGCAACTTTTTTCTCACTTATCCACATATCCTCATGACAGAAAAACAAACAAACAAATAAATAAATTCACACAAAAATATTTGAAATGTGAAAAATCTGAAAAAACTGCATTGTTTTTCCTGTAACTATATCCTGTAGCTCCAAATCATTGTGCAACTGTGAGTTCAGGTCAGTGCTTAATCTGTTCTGCTCTTGGAAAGAGCAGGACCAGGAATTTCATCAAGGGTGACGCTGATGGAAAGAAGCCACAAGCCTCTCAACTAATTGGAAAGGAGAAGGATCTAGGAACATTATTTTATGGGAGAGCAGATAAACTGGGGAGGATGACAAACAAAGATCAGTATGAGGTGAAATCTCAAGGGAAAGGAGCCACCAGCAAAAGCAGTCTAAGATCTTTCTGCAAGTCCTGTGTAAATGGTGATAAACAGATCAACGTTTAATGTCCTGTGAAATTTAATTATAGTCTCTTTCACAGCTAAGCAATTACAAAACATTTTATCAGTTTTTTGTTACGTCATTAGATCTCACCTTAAAACATCATGTACATAAATAAAATAATTCTAACAGCTTCATTTCACTCTTCTGCCCTGTAAGTAGAAATGGTGTCATGCTACAAAGCATATGATCCATGTGCAATTGCAATTTAATGGCCTTCAAAAAATTGCCAGAATTATTGTAACCTTTGCCAGAGCTTTTCAGGAGAATGTGAAGAGAAGTAATTAAAATAAATGAAAAACTGACTAAAAGTTTCCACATACAGTGGGAATAAAAGGTCAGCTGTCTTTGCAAGAGGTTAACAACAGAACACCACCTGGCTGTGTACTTGGGCTGATACTTATTGTTTGATATTTATGGCCATTGTATTGGCCATAGATGATATTAGTAAGTAGTTAAGAAGTAACACAGTGGTTATGAAGATTACAGCAGGGGGGCTAGTGTGGCATTACCTCCCTCAGCACAAACCAGCATACTGTACAAGTGAAGCAGTGAACACACCTGTGCAAATGCTGTTGATTCAAAAGAAGAAAACTGCAAATTTAAAAAGCATTGCATAGACTGGGGCAGGAAAAGAAAATGCAAGAACAAGGGCAGGGGCATGAAGAACTGGGCTACATTTTTGGAATTCAGTACTAAAAGAAATGTGAGTATTCAGTGTGGGCGTAAAATAAGTAATGGTACAAACAAAAATGCAATAGGAAATAAAAACCATGCCATGTTATGTTATAACTTGGTACTTTTAAAAATGATTGTGAATATAGTTTTGGAGGCAAGACAGCCTTTGCATCCCTGCTTTGCACACGGCTTTTGCCTTTTTCCTTACACAAAGAAGGGTAGACCTGTCCATGCCATGGGTTTTCCCAGAAGAATACTGTGAGAGACCGTGTCAAAGGCTTTGCTGAAGTCTAGGTAGATTACATCAACAGCCTTTCCCTTGTCTACCAGTTTGGTCACCCAGTTGTAGAACCAGATGAGGTTGGTCGAGCATGACCTGCCTTTCATGAACCTGTGCTGGCTGAGCCTGATCCTCTGGATGCCACACATGTGCTGTGTGATCTCACCCAAGATGATTTGCTCTATAACTTTCCCCAGTACCGACATCAGGCTGACAGGCCTGTAGTTCCCCGGATCCTCCTTGCGGCCCTTATTGTAGATGGGAGTCACATCAGCAAGCCTTCAGTCCTTTGGGACTTATCCAGATAATCAGGGATGTGGGTAGATGGCGGAAAGTAGCTCAGCAATCACCTCCGCCAGCTCCCTCAGAATCCTAGGATGGGACCCATCCAGTCCCATGGACTTGTGACAGTCAGGATGGAGGAGGAGCTCTCTGACTGTCTCCACCTGAATCACTGGGGGTGTATTCTGCATAGCATCCCAGATTTCCAGATCAGGGCATAAAGTACCCTGAGGATAACTGATCTGCCTATTAAGGGCAGATGTAAAGAAGGTGTTGAGGACCTCAGCCTTCTCCTTATCCTCAGTGGTCACATTCCCTGCTGCATCAAGTAAAGGATGGAAATTCTCCTTGATTCTTCTCTTACCACTGATATATTTGTAGAAGGATTTCTTATTCTCTTTTACTGCAGTGGCCAATCTGAGTTCAAGTTGGGCTTTTGCCTTTCTAACTTCCCCCCTGCATACCTTAGCATCTTCCTTGTAATCTCCCCAAGTAGCCTGTCCCTTCTTCCAGAGGATATAGACTCTCTTTTTGTTCTGGAGTCTCAACAATAGTTCCTGGTATATCCACACCATTCTTCTTCCCCTATAGCCTAGTCTTGTGCCTTTAAAATTTCCGTCTTGAGAAGTGTCCTGGACCCCTTTACCCTTCAGGAGCGACTCCCAAGGGACTCCTGCAACAAGTGTCCTGTCCAGGTCAAAGTCCACCCTCTGGAATTTCAAGACTGCAGTTTTGCTAGTCACCTTTCTGACATCTCCAAGAACAGTATTCTACAATTTCATGGTCCGCACCACCCTAGACAGTCCCCAACCTTCGCATCTTTCATCAGTCAGTCCTTCTCTGATAGTGAACAGCAGTTCCAGCAGGGCACCACCTCTGATAGGTTCTTGTACCAGACTATGAAAAGAAGCTATCTTCTGCACTCTATAAACCTCTTGGACTGCTTTCTCTGTGGTGTATTATATTTTCAGTATAAATCAGGGAAGTTGAAGCCTCCCATGAGGACAAGTGCTGGTGATCGCACGACTTCCACAAGCTGCTCACAGAATGCCTCATCCTTCACTTTATCCTAATTAAGTGGTCTGTAACAGACCCCCACCAAGATGTCACCCCTACAGGCCTTCCCCCTGATCCTTATCCACAGACAACTTTATCATTCCCAACCCCAAGCTCTTCAACATCAAAAAACTCTTTAATATAAAAGAGCCACACCACCACCCTTCCTTCCTTGTCTATCCCTTCTGAAGGGCTTCATCATCATCAGTAGCCATCCATCACAGCACTCCACTCATGACAGTGGTCCCACCAGGTTTCAGTAATAGCAACTAGATGATAGTTAGCCTGATGCACAATCGCTTCCAGCTCTTCCTGCTTGTTGCCCATGCTGTGTGCATTGGTGTAGATGCACTTCAGCTGAGTCATCTGCCTCACCCCAGCTCAAGCATCATTCCCCTTGGCTCATTTCTGGTGAGCCCTGTTTTGTCCCCTTCCCCCATCATAGCTCTTTTAATAAGCCCTGCTAGCTCCTGTGCTAGGATTCATTGCCCCCTTTGAGATAGGTGGGTTCCATGCGTGGACAACAGGCCAGAGGCTGAGTAAATTGCCCCATGATCAGTGAACCCAAAGCTTCTGCCATGACCAGCCTCTGAGGCAGTTTTTCACTACTTGTGCTTTCCAAGCCCACTCCGTGTCCCTCACTGCCCTTGAAGGTATAGAACAAAAGATCACTTGCACTCCCTCTCCTCGAACTAAATGCCTTAAACCCCTGAAATCTCTTTTCATAGTTCACAGGCTTCTCTGAGCAATTTCATCATTGCCCACTTGAACTGTAATTAAAGGGAAGTAATCAGTGGGCCGAATCTGCTTTGGGGGTTTTCTAGTTATGTCCCTGACCTGGGCCCCAGGAAGACTCAGATAGGGTCTGCAAATGGGGCCCTCCGTTCCTCTGAGAAAGGAGTCACCCACCACAACCAGGAGTCAACCACCACAACCACCTTTCTTTCTTTCCTGACAGAGGCAGGAGGGTGACTGCCTCACCTTAGGTTCCCTCCTCGGCAGATCCTCCCTCACCTGCCCACTCACCTCCCCTTGAATTTCCAGCATCACAAACCTGTTGCTTAGTGGACCTGGAGAAGCGGGGTAGGCAGGCAGGGGTGTGCCCATGACAGAGTCAGGACTCTCTTCCAACCCTCCTTATTCTCTCAGGTCTGTCCAACTGTGACAGAGCAGGGGGTCAACCACCTTCCTGGGGGTCTCTCTCTGGTCGCCTTCCATCTGGTACACCAGTGAGTCACTCCACCAGTCAATCTTCCGCTTACATTCCTTGATGGTCCTTAGTCTCTCCACCATCTCCTTGAGCTCCACCACCAAGCTGAGCAGCTCATCCACCTGCTCACACTTCACACAGGTGGAGTCCTTGCCACCCTCCCCAGGCAGCAGCAGGCTTAGGCACTCCCTGCAGCCAGAGACCTGAACAGCTGCATTTCTGGGCAGGCCTTCTGTCTGGGTGGTCACTGTCCCCTTGGGATAAGCCTGCTGTCTGGTGCAGACCATGTTTAGGCTCAGAGACTGCCAAGAGGAAAGCTGGTCTCCACAGCAAATAGGGACAACACACTCCTCAACAATTAATCCACCTCTCACACCCACAGCTGCAGTACTGCATGGGCAGCGTGGGCTGTGCTCACATACTGAACCTACCTGTTCTCAATGAGCAGTAACAACAATTACTCACCTGCAGCGCTCCCCAAGGATATTTAAAG